CCCACCTCTCTCCACCCTGCCAGCTGGGTTATATGTTTGTAATATGGAGTCCTAAAAACTTTAAAAATAAGTTAAAAAATTAAAAATCTTTGTTTGCCACTGTTTGAGAGACAAACAGTGATTTTCTGCCAGTGAGAAAAGATAATCTTTTTCATGTCAAAGCGGAGTTGAACATCTTTACTTTTTACAGTGGTTGTGTTACAGTTATGCTGAGCTGATTATCGCAGTCAGCTTCTGTGCCTGTACAAACAACAGATGTTTTGCATTTATGAGCTAGTCTCCTCCAAGCACACTAGAATGGCAGCTTTCACTGATTTTTCACTGACCTCTTCAATTACTCTAAAAATAAAGCAAATATTCAGGATATGCAGTGATTTGAAAGCAGAATGTGTTTTTGGCTGCGTGACCTGAATACCTCTCTGTGTTCATTACAGTTTATGTCAGGTTGGCCTCTTAAAAATTACACAAAATTGAGGGATAATGAATCCTTCCCCAGAGATCAAGAGTGTGCCGTATGCCTAATCACACTCTGTGACAAGCTGGCAGGGCTGAACAATGTTATCTCTGCCAAGCACAAACTGCTGGTTTTATTTATCGTTTAGCTACGTGCAGCATAAAAATCCCATATTGTCAATAAAAGTTTCCAGCCTAAGTTGCTAAGTAAGTTATTCAGATTTTGCTCATTTCCACTTCAATATTTAACCCATTCTTCTTAAGTAGGCTTGGAGCTACCTGTCTGAGAAATGAGCAGCGTTACCTCAGACAATCCTGGTTATGTTTGCTGTGCAAATTGTGCAAGAGATACTCACTTAAGATGCTATCTAGAAGTGTCTTCCATTGAATCCAGTGGGGAGCTTCATTGCTTAAACCCTTCTGTTCTTTGTTTTCCCTTTTTTCCCTCTCCTCTATTCCCTCTGTTCATCCTTTGTTCTGTTAAGAGTTCATGGTTTGAATTGCTACTGTTAAAATAGTTCAGGTTATGCTGTTTCTCCAGTCATTCAGAAGATAAATATTTACGGTGATGATGGTGTGACTCATGTGCCATAACACAGGTCTATAGTGCCACGTCAGAGGTCCCTAAATGTTTTTCCTGTCTTCTAGTTAATGCTTCATCGGGCTGCGGGGTCTCCTGTAAATCCTGCATCCCGTCTACCAATCCTGTACAAACCTTTTGGATATGCTGAATGGTAGCTTCTAAAATTATGATAAGTGTCTGCTAAGGTGACCAGATGGTTCCCTAGTGTCTTCTCCTAAATAAAGTTACTTAAAACCAGAATTTATTTAGAATCAACTTTGAGTGTAAAATATCAGAATGGAATTGTCCAGCACTTGATTATTTTTTTCATCTTTCTTCCTCCATCAGCTTACCAAATATTAATCAGAAAGTGTTTATCTTTGTAATAACTACTGGAAGTGGAATGACCTGTCATTTTATCCTTACTAACCTAGAGCTAAATATATATTTGAGGCTTAATTCTTCACTAAGGCTTTCTTCAAATGCACAAGAATTAGGAGTAAGAAGGCAGTGTGTAAAATACATCCATAGCTAGTAAAAGTATGCAGCTAGGTAAGCTTCTCAGTGAGCCTGTGAAGTGAGGGTAGCTACATCCCATCCTTTTTCTGAAGTTGGAAAAGAAGTACTGAGAACTATTTATGCCTGAAATTTCTTTTTCTGTGTACAGCTGTAAGATGTAAATTTCCAGTTCTGTTCTGAGAGTTCACTTCAGCGTGGTGGGTGGATAAAAATGACAAGATATCCTCATGGCTAGACTGGAATGGCTTGTTCTTGTTGAGTGATAACTTGCTCCACAAGTATTCTTTGCAGACAGTATTAGAGTAAAATCCTTTGTAGTGCTAGAAAAGAACTCCGAATTCACAACTTTGGTAAACTTTTGTAATTTGTGGATTTCAGTGCTCAAATGAAACTGGGGGGGGGGAGTGATTGCTTAACATAAAGCACTCATTATCCATAATTCAGTTGAGAAGATGGCCTGTATTTAAATCAATGAATAAGGTAATGTTACAGAGTCCGAAAAATGGGCTTAATATTTGTATGGAAGGACAATAATACAAATATACAAATACAGTTCCATTAAACTGTACTCTAATACATGTTTTGTGCAACTTTAAATTGTGCCACAATAGAACAGAAACTTGACTCCATAATGGAATGTATGCACTCAGACATAAACAGCCAGGCTTGTTTCACCTGATATTCTGTATATACTGTATACTCTCTGTGTATACTCTGTCTATACAATTAAAGAGATCTTTTTAGAAGCTGCAACTTTCAGTGATAAAATAGATATATTTTTTAAAAAAATGTTTTTTAATTATTTGTTTCCTTGATACGTGTTTTGATGCAACATTCCTTGTTTTTCACATGTTGTTGCTGGGAAAAACTGCAGGATCCAGAGATGCAGCATTTGCTTATTGATGGTGAAAATTGCAGTGTATCACTGAACGCCAGCAGTGTGGCCACCGGTGAAGGCAGACATGGGACGTCAGCTATAAGCTTCCTTGGAGCCTTGCGAATACCGGTGAGTACATGTGCTATGCTTGCCTGTTCCTCTGAGAATTAAGTTTTGCCTCAGAACTCATATTTCCATGAAGTTCTAGATGGAGTGGTAGAAGACATTAACTTTGCATCACAAGCTTTGATTTTCAACTCTGTTGTATATAGGCTAAAGCTTGGTACACAAGCGAAGGTGTGCACCTCTAAGAGGAGGAGGGAAAATTGGTACAAGAGTACTCTCTTCCCCAGTAAGCAGATGGCATAAGCTTTAGAAACTACAAGCATCAAGGCTTCAGTACCCATATAAACTGCTTTTTTTTTCCCCACCTCATTGTAACTAATACTAGAGCACCCTGTAATGTAAAACTTTACTGGTCTTGGTGAATGACACGTGGATGGAATAGCAGCTGAGTCTATAAGCTCTTCACTGTGTCAGAACTTCCTTCTATGACTTCCCTTTTACACTGCTCAACAGTATTTTTAAAAGCTTTAATTTAAAAATCTCTTGTATGGTTTATATTGAGAAGTTTCAGACAGCCCAAACATTCTGACTGCTGGTAAAAGGAAAAGACGTTTCCTTTAGGTCATGGACTGTCATCTTTGATTGTCCTCTCAGTTTAAAGCTAGCAACTTCAGCAGGTTTCACAAGTAGAATTATATGCAAATTGATTTGGACCAGGTGTAAAAGTAGGGGAGGAAATCTCCAGCACCAAGCCACTGTATTCATCTTCTCATCCTGTCCAGTCTGGTCCTCTGTCTCAACATTCTTTCCTGTGGCAAAGTGGAAGTAATGACCAGAAAAAATTGCTGCTGCTGCCACCTGGGATCTTTTACTCTGTGGTATTTTTCCTGCCTGTTGTTGAGAAGGGTCACAGCTGTATGTGAAGCAGAGCTACCTGTGTGTTGTCCATGCTGATAACTGCAGTACTCCATACCAGGGATTTAAGAAATCCAGTTTCAAGCAAAAATTTATCAGGTGGTGAGGGGAATGAAGATAGGTTAATTTGGTGGCTTGGTTGCAATGCTGTGAAGGGAGTGTACTTTTCATATACCCAACAGGAAAGAGGATGGAGCAAATTAGTATTTCAAATAGGTGTATACCCTGTCTAGCGTGCTCTTACCATATACTGGTGTGTCATGCTGGTTAACTGGGTTTTTGTAAAGAGTTAAACAACAAGGGAGACATCTTAGACCCATCTGAATGAAGGATCTAAAGAACACAAAGATATGACAAATCTGCTATAATGCTATATAAGAACTCTTTACGTGAGGAAAGTAAATGATGTGGGTGTCCCAAAGAGTATCAAATCCTTCCTGTTCATTTTAGTGTTCTCTCTTCAGTCAATTCAATACAATCAAGACAAAAGAAGACATAAGAAAAACACAGCAGTCTGCTCTGATTGTAAGCTTTGTGTTCTTGGGAATTGTTGAGAGGAAAAAAAAAAGCCTAAATGCTTCTTAGAAACCATTTTCATAATGGCCTTTGAAAGTAAATAACAACCTCTGTGAAGATACTAACTTCCCATTTTCTTCATTCTCAGGGAGTCATAGAGTTCTCCCTTTGTCTGCTGTTTGCAAAGCTGGTGAGCTATACTTTCCTCTTCTGGCTTCCCCTCTATATCACAAACGTAGGTAAGTATGACATAAGGGAATACAGAATTATGACTACAAAGAGTCTGGAAATAAGAGCTTGAAATAAATAAGAAACATTACTACTCCTGAAATAAGCTATCTTTGCTACAGTAGCAGAAGAGTTGTAAGTCACCATCTAATGTATTTCTCAGTTTTATGAATTCAGTATTAGGAGAGGGCATTTTCAAAACAAACAAGCAAAGGAATCTGGCTTATCTTCAGCAATTCCAAGCATCAATGCTGTGTCTTTGGCTCTTGCAAACCAAATAAAAAAGATTTACTTTATAATAACGTTTTTAAGTGATTGAAGTGCCGTATTAAAACATGTACAAAAAAATCTAAATTAGCATTTTCATCTGTTCAGTATGGCTTTTTTGTTTTGTGCTGTAGAGTGCGGAGAAAGGAGTTCTCCCTAGCCAGAGAGATTCATGTTCTTGTGAGCCGTAATGTGACCTTTAAACCCCCCAGCTAAAAAAAAAAAATTATGTTCTGGACAAGCATGGCAGTAACAACCAGCTGAGACAGACAGGTTGAACATCCTATGAAAACATACAGAGCTGCAAATCCTATAGCTAAAGGCTGTTGTGTGTAGACTCCAAATAACCAGTGCTCCTGCAGGACTGGGTACCTTGAAAGCAGTAGGCTTTTAATAGAAAAGTTAATGATATTTAGCACAGTACTACTATCTGTGCTGTACGAGATGTTGCTGAGGTTATGGTAGTGCTGCTGACCCCACTGTTTTAGCACACACTGCTCTTTCAAATGTATTTCAGAGACTTTTTAAAAAAATACCAAATCTTAGCAATTCATCTCCTTTTGAAACTTCACACTTAACACAACAGGACTGGATTGCCCAACTTCCTGATGTACTTTTGGAAATCTGACCCCATAATGTATCAGTAGCTACATTAGACTAAATGTAAGTATGTGCAAACAGTGCAGTTAAGGAAATCACTGTCTCTTCGTGATCCCCATAAACTGCGCAGTACACATTGTGCCGAGCAGTGTTGCCAGATGTGATTTAATGATGACTATTACTGTCCATGTGATGGAAGTCTCCAGGATGAGGCTCTATAAGTGATCCAAATGTACACTAATCATGCCTTTGGAGCAAAGAGCCTCATGAGCATTTGTTAACTGTTTATGAGTATGTGGCTGTTCACAAATAGGAATATTGTTAGTCCAGACTTTCAACAACAAACAGCTCTATTGCTTGGACTGTATCTATAGTTAAAGTGGTGGAGTGTCCTGACATGAGCATAATTGCATTCAAAAGACTGTATCCCTGAATACCCACTTATGATACATTCTTATTTGTCATATGCAATGGCAGCTTCTGGTAGCTTGTTCCTCTGAACAAACAATACTGACATAAAATGCCTTTATCCTGGCATGACAAGACTCTGTTGAGGTTTCTATGTTTTGTAGTCTGGTAATGAGACACATGTTTTTCTTCTGTCACTAGAGCATCTTGATGCCAAAAGAGCTGGTGACCTTTCTACACTGTTTGATGTGGGTGGAATATTTGGTAAGTTTTATATATTAACATTTTATCCTTAATCAGACCAGTTTAGGAAAAGCTGTGTTACACACAGTTTACATATGTTATTAATCCCTGTGCCTTTTGTCCACTGAAGAAGACCGACAGTAAAGGTACTAAGTTGAGAGCTGGGCTGATTGCTGAAAAGCTAGCAAAATATCTTTAAATTTATCAACTCACAGAGCCAGTGATATTATCCAGTGCAGACCGTAACAGCCAGATATTATGGAATCTTTTAGTGCCATCAGCTCTGGCCCATCAGTCTTGGTCATGCCATCTGTCAAAATGTCTTCCTTTTTTTGCTCTAACATAACAAAACTATCCCAGCTTGTGCAGTTGTGTGTTTCTTATGGGCACAGAGGCAAATGACCACAAGTGTTTTGGCTTTTTTTCTTGACGCATTATATAACTGTATGTGATAAATTGTGTGATTGTAATAATAATAAGGATGAGACTATTCCTTTGTAATTTGTGAGATGACCACTGAATAATAAGATTTTTATGTCAGTGCAGACAGTATAGCTCACAGTAAAACAAGCATCATTATCTTGATGCCTGGCTGATTCATGACACACACACTCCCCAACACCCGTCCCCTCTCCACCTCCCCCAGTTTCCTCGTGGAAATAAGTCCTGGAGCAGTCTATTGGAAAGTTATGCTCATGATGGAGAAATTTTGCTTGATCAAGAGCTATGTAGACCCTGGTAGTTCAAAATGCAGGTGTCAAGGTGTGTTGCAGTTACCGTTCTAGTCTTGTGCTGGATGTGACTGCTGCCATTTCTCACTGCTCATTTCATCCCAGATAGCTAGAAGCCAGAGCCAGTAATACCTTGGCGATGTGAGTGACTTCTTTCACCAGCATCTTATTCTGCTGTGAATACAAGCTTAACAGTGTGCCAGTGCTGCTTGGACCTTTGACACCTACATTTAAACCCAAGTGGGATGTGAGCACTTTGGAGATGGGCAGCTGGGAAGGGAGAGGCAGGCCCAGCAATATTTAGGAATCTGGATAATCCAGAGAACTTTTGTTTCCTTCTCCCTGTACCAATTTCCCTTTATATTATTTTGGCAGCTCCTTCCTTCGGGCCTTCCAGCCCCCTCCTGCCACATGCTTCAGTTAGCACTTCTGTGTACAGTCATTGGCAAAAACAAGGAGTGGGGAAAATTAAAGAGCCTGGAGTGACTACCTGTAGAGAAAACCAAATATTTCATTTGCCCCAAGAACTAAAATAGTTCATTTCCCCTGGTTGCAGTGCAATGTGGACAGACCACTCAAGAGCCAAGTTGTTACATGTGAGGAGTTAAGAGACCAGTGGGTAGCTGGGCACAGCTGGATTCCAGGATGCCAGCAGTGGGCCATGTGGCACCTGGCAAAAAGGCTTTTTGTATGCAAAAGCAGCAGAACAATGACTTATAAATACTTTTCTATCTCTGTTCGGCCCCCACCCCTGTTACCTTGGATATTTGGTTGGAATACACAGTGGGAAGAACAACTGTCTGCTTCTGTTATCTTCCAAGTTAAAACCAGTTGGATTGATAAGGATATTGCTAAGTGTGACTAATGTTAGTCTCATGCTCTGTGCCGCTGTGTATAACTAGATTAAAAGTCGTATCCTATTGTTTTAATCTGGGTTGGGTTTCATTAAGTATAACTGATGTCTTTTGTCTAAAACACGCACAGAGTGTTTTCCTCACACACCTGTCTCTTTTTTCAGGTGGAATTTTGGCAGGCCTGATTTCAGACAGGCTAGAGAAGAGGGCATCGACCTGTGGAATGATGTTACTGCTTGCGGCACCCACAGTAAGAGTTTGCCCCTCTCACACTTGTGACTGAGACTTTGACAGCATTCCTTGTGAAGTTCTGCAGACAGCATCTTCTAACTTGGATATAAAGAGCTCAGGCCAGGTTAAAAACTGGCATGAAAAGTTGAGCATGTGATCAAGTTTAGACATTGAAGCTGCCTTTACTAAGCACGCAAACAAGTCTAATGTATTGCTTGTTGTAGGATTATATGGAAAGCTTAACGTTCTCTTGTAAAGTATGATGTTCAGTTCTTAGCCAGAATTCTAAGGCTAAAATTTCTGTGCTATAACTGTTGAAAAAACTGGCAGTTGGACATATGAGATGCATTTTTCTTTGCTTCTTTTATGAACAGTACTCTGTGCTGTGTCGAAGCTGGCAATTTGAGAGTTTAAAATTGAGTGGTCTCATAACACAGCCCTTTATTCTGCAAGGACCCACAGGGGAATAGGAGCATATCCCCTATCTCCCTCCTGTGTCCAATCAAACAGTCATTCAGCTGTGGTCTAAAAGGGTTTAGTAATCCTAGAACTAGCTTTCACGTAGTACCAACTAAGATATTTTGTAGTTAACATGGGGAAAATGGGCAACCTAGGATTACTCCATATGTTGGTATTCAACATGTTTCTTTTATCGTCTTTACAGTTGTACATGTTCTCTGCAGTCAGTAAAATGGGCCTTGAGGCTACTGTAGGTGAGTGTTTTAAAATTATTTTCGCCTGGCTTTCTGTGAACTTTTCATTTATGATCCTTTGATGCTCTTTCCTTTTTTCTTTTATATATTCCATGAGGGGAAGAAGTATGGAATTAAATTCCCTAGACTTTGTCTTGCAGGCTTTTTACAGGATAAGGAAGGGGAGAGGGGGCTCTAGGGAATGAGTAAAGGTTGGCATGAGAACAGTGATTTAGTTAATATCATTATCATCCTTCTGGAGCTTGTTGTGTCAGCACAGGCTTTATTATATTCCCTATGCCAAATGTCAGAGGTGTTCAAAGACTAGTTGTAGTACTTTTGACAGCAAGGTTAACTTTACTTGTATAGGCTAAATTCACTTGTGGCTTTCTGTTACCTCAAAACAGAAGCTGAAACACAAGTGCTGATGGTAGTGCCTCATCTACCTAAAAAGCCTTGTGAAGTTTTAGGGTCCTCTGGTGCTTGGTGCTGTACAAGCAGAGAAGGGGCTTACAGGTGGATCCTGTGAGCATCACCTGCTCTTAGGGTCAGTTTGGTCAGACTTTCCCCTTTCTCTGACCTGCTAGGATCAATAAAGGCCCTGGGAAATGCCTTTTGACTCAGACTTGTCTCCTGTTATATTTGCAAGTTCATATAATGGAGTAAGCATTGAAGGGAGATAGGAGTGTATGTTGCTTTTCCTCCTTTCTCAATTCTGTGATGGGGTCAGGGGAGCCAAGGAAGGATTAAACCATTTGAGAACCGTAGGCTAGGGTGTCTCCTGTTATGGTTAATAGTCTTTCAGGCAATTCACATTTTCCATTTTTGTCCCAACTTGCAACAGTGATGCTGCTTATCAGTGGTGCCCTGGTGAATGGCCCTTACGCGCTGATCACCACTGCTGTCTCTGCTGACTTGGTGAGTTTGGCTTCCCCTCTGCTTTGGCCTCCAGAGAGAGCCCTTTGAGTTCTGCAGGGTCGTCACTGAAGGGCCTGCATTGTCCCAAAGCAAAGGGATAAGAAGCTGGATAGGCAGTGCTGAACTCAGCCACAGAGATTGTTTTAGAGTTCATGCATTAGTGAGTGTCATGCTTGTGAGAGGCTTCTAAATTGTCTTGCTTACTAACAAGACAGCCCAGATCTTGTAGATGACAGACCAAAGTGAATGTGAAGATTGCATGCAAGGCCAAGGCTCTGTACAGGTGCCTTCTCTCCCTTTATGCTTTGCATCTTTAAACAAGGGGAGGAGCTGTGTCTGGGTGAGAGATGAGCTGGAAACTTAATTCCCATCAGTGCGGAAAGCTATACATGACACATACCCTTACTTTTGTCCATGCTACTCCCTGCCCTTTCTTGTACTGTTACTCTGGTTGCCGACACTTCCAGCTGGATCGAGTTGGTCAGTCACAAATGCTATGTGAAAACATTGACCCTGGTATCTTTCATGAGCTAGGCTTTGGAAAGTTGCTTTCAAAGATCCTCATTCATTAAGGCACCAAGCAAGAGGCAAAAGTCCTCGAACAACAAATGCTCTAAATATAGGAAAAGGAGCAGGACAAAAATCTCCAGTTACAGAGCCCTGTCCTTGGCTGGTCTTAGCAAGACAAAGAAGGCCACCATGCGTTGCCCATTTTATCCTTATCTGTGCTGAAGTGGCTGCTAGCTAGAAAGTGGGGCCTGACATTGCAAGATCTGTGCCTGGCCCTGGGGAAAAGTATTGAAACTGCCAACCAGTTCCTAGGATATTAGCAATCAAACATCTGACATGAGCAAATGTAAATCGCAGATTACCTGACTGGATTCTCCTCAGAGTACTGCAGATAAATGACTGTCTGTCTTAGCAGTTCTCTGAACTATTCAGTCTGTCTTCCTACTAAGTCATTCCCTTTATCAGTTGCTTTGTTCTGAAGACCTGGCATATAAAATTGGGACTGAACAGCTTCTTTTGGCTCAAGAATTCTCTGAATTAATATTTCTGTATATATCCATAATTCTGGTACTCTAGTATTCCTGGCACAGTGGTGATTTTTTCCCCTTTTTTTTTTGTTTGTTTGTTCCACAAAGCTTTGCTGTTTATTAGCAGGGGAAAACAGGTCCATGGAAACAGCCTTGCAGCATAATGCAAAGCTGAAGTGCTATCCTTGTTCCTTGAATCCACAATGTGCAGAACAGAAAGCTTCTTGGCTGCTGTGGTTTAAATAACACGATTTAATAAAGGAGAACACTGTAGGCTGCAGGTTGGTGGGGTAGGAGGCTTCTTTATGTAGTGATAAAAGAGTCTGAGCTAGGATATTTAAGGCATCTTCACAACGTACATGTAATGTGGGAGGGGTGTGAGCTAGATGACGTTGTAAGGACTTTTTGGGAGTTCAGCTCAGGATAGGTCTAAGAAGTCTTTGTCACTTTAGGGTACCCATAAAAGCCTGAAAGGGAATGCAAGAGCCTTGTCCACAGTGACAGCGATCATCGACGGAACGGGATCTGTAGGTAAGCTAAAGCTGTAAGGTAGCCTGCCTTAGCTGTGGGTTAAAACAAAGGATCTTTGAGAAACTAGGCTCTCTCCAATTCACGTTTTGCCAGGACTTGGTACAACTTTGGAAATGGGGAGTAGAGCAAACTTAGCCTTAAACCTCTCTAGTGGTCCCAGACCTGAGGGAGGGAGGAGGAGGGTGGTAGACTGATGCTGGGCACAGACAGCAAAAGTTGATGATGCCATTTGGGCTGTTTCTGAGATCAGGGATATTTTATTCATGCCCTCTGCACTGGTATGTGGAAGGGAAAATTGAGTGGGATTCAGCTTAATATTGGATGGGCATTTGGTTGAGCCCAAAGGCAGGCATTTCTTAAACTTCTAGTCTTCCAGCTTCCCCTGTGTTATGTTTCCCGTTGGCTTGCAGCTGTACCAGTAATGTTTTGCACTTTCTGGGACCTTTTAGTACATAAGATAATACTGAGTTAACTAGATGGAGAAATTGATATTCTAACTCAGAATAACTGTCTTTCAGCATAGTAAATCTTAAGTTGCATCATTCTGACAATACCAATATTACATTTTAGGTGCAGCTTTGGGGCCTCTCTTAGCTGGTCTTATTTCCCCATCTGGTTGGAACAACGTGTTTTACATGCTCATGGTAGCAGATGCATGTGCCTTGCTAGTAAGTCTAAAAATGCTGTTTAGTTGCCATGTATTTCCTCTGTGCTAAACTATCTTAAAATGCAAATTTTCCTTTTGCATTTTCAATACTCCTACTTAAAAGAAACTTCCAGTTGTGTAGGAAGTTTTCAATTAAAGAACAAATTTGCTCACTTTGAAATTCTCATCTAATTTTAATCAAAAGTGCGGGTAAGTTCTGATACACTTCAATTCCAGAGCAAATACACATCTGTTAATTGCTGGCTGAGCAGATTACAGCAGGCATAATTGTGAGTAAACCTTCATATGTAGACCTAGAAGATGCCTCAGATTCCACTCACGGAAGAATTATTTCTGTTTTCTTTAAAGCTAGTTTAGCAAAGCAGTAACAAATGTTTTGCTACATTGCTGTATCACCAAAATCACTGTGATAATGAAGCTGTTGAAAGTTAATATATCACATTCTCCAGATGGGTCCTAAAACTGCTGTGTGAGGTTAGATGAAAAACTGTCATCCTAACTGTTGACCGTAACCAGGAGCAGATGTTTAGGGAAAAGGAGTGCAACACACACGTGGTGTCTTGGTACCAAAGCACATCCATTTTCCTTTTTTCTCCTGTTTGAGATCCTGTATAATGGATAGGAAGATCTGAAAATGTTTGGGGTTTTTTTTTTTTTCCACTTCTGACTTGCCCCGCTTTGTTTTTAAAGACCAAAGAGAGATAGGCAAGGTGGGTGGCTTGCTGTACCTTTGAAATCAGTCTTGCTGCACCCACCTGTAGGTTACATTTTGCATTTGCCGTGGATTTGCCAGGCAGGCACCTGTGCCAGCTTTGTTCTCCAGCAGAGAAGAATGCTGCTATGACTACTTCAGAGATGCCCTGAAGTGTCACCTGCTTATCCTCTCCTTTTGAAGTCCTGGGTACAAGTGCTCATTGAAAGGCAGGATGACTGCGAAACACTTCAGAAATACTCCTTCCTTTGTACTGGCTGTGCCCAGACAAAATCCTCTGCCTGTATGGTGTCGCGCTGAGCTCTGTGCTCCTGCAGAGGAGCTAATGCTGAGTGTGTCAGACCACTCTATCCTGACACAAGAAAAGCAGAAAGTCTTGTTTTGAGTTACATTTGAGGCTATTTTTTCTAAATTCAGTTAAAACCACAATTTTAAAGTAAATTTGTCCACATTTAAGATGTGAAATCTCTGGAAATTAAGTAAATAAGTTAATAGTTGAAGTATATTCCCACTGCTAGTCAGCAGCTCTATAAATCCTGATTTGTGCTATTTTCAGTATTAGGTATTCCATGCTGCAGACTGAGGTTTTGGAGATTGTTGTAGTTTTTCCAAGTATACTTAAAGCTTTGCTTTTTTCTTTTATAGTTATTTATTACAACCAAATTAAAAAAATCCCACATTTCTTTACAGCATCAGTTAAAATGCCTTTGTAAAGCTGCACTTTTGCTGTTGTAATAAATAGTGGGTTTTGTACCTCTTGTTCTGCTTTTCCCGTTCTTTGCAGTACAGCATATAGATGCATGTGTTCAACTGTTATTTCTTCAAAGATACCTGGAAGGAGTTTAGCCTCTTATGTGGTATTCAGTTCTGTCATGCTTGTTGTTATTATATTCCCTATGCCAAATGTCAGAGTTGTTTAAAGATTACTTGACAGCAAGTTTAACTTTACTTGTATAGACTGAATTAACTTGTGGCTTGGCCAGTCCCATACCTTTGAAATACTAGGTTTAACTTCTGAAAACACCGATACTTACAACAGTGAAGAAACTTGAAGTATGAGGTTCCCTCTACTGGTTTCTTTACACGTCTGCTGGTAAAATAACTTTGGAAAGCCATTCTGTTTTTTACGAAGAAATAAATCTCTCGGCTGCAAAAAGGAAATTATTTTTTTCTTGCCTATTCAGTGTGAAAGCTCCTCTTCCAAACATTGATAGAGCATCTGTAAATCTTTTAGATTTTTTTTTTTTTCACTGAGTTCAGCATTACAGGGTAATGTTTCAAATGAGGAACTGTTTGAAAAAGTGTGCATCTTATTCTGAAACCTAGCGTATTTGTATATCTGTATAGATATTAACACAGATACTGTAACTGTCTTTACAGTTCTTACTCCGTCTTATTCAGAAGGAACTTCGGTGTTACGCAGACCATAGCCTGTAAGTGTTATGCACAAATATTGCTTTTTAATAACAGTTTTAAAACATGTTACTAAGCCATTGGTCCATAATACCTAGATGTAGACTGAATGCATTAAGGTTTTTGTATGTCCATTTCTGTTTTAATTTTGCTTCAAAAGAGTAATCTGGTTTTGATGTTTTCAAACCATGAACATTTTTTCTCAGAATGTCTTATTTTGAAAGCATCTGAAAACAGGTTTCACTGTCTCAGGCTCTTAGTTATTGTTTGTTTATTCCCAAATACATAGTCTTCCTGGTTTTTCATTATGGAGCATCTAGGTGGGGATCAGAAGCTACTTCATTGCTTGCTCTGTGTTTTTTAAGTTTCAAAAGTAACTTTTTTCAAAAGGTCTACTTAAAGGAAAGGATGACTCTGACTTTAAAGTGTTTTGAATTGAGTAAAATAATCTACTGAATCAGTGGAGTTACAGTTGCATAATCAAAATTAAACTGGGCCCCTTGGCTGTACTTTTGGAGAAGTAAAATGGACAGAGAGTAGAAAAACACATAGCAAGGCATGGACCCTGCATTTAGCAGTTGGTGGCTGTTACGTCTCACACCTCAACTCTTTCTGCCTGATTGCTGTTCTTTCACAGGTTTAAAGAACACTGAGCTAAGAGACCATATTTGGAATAAGGACTGCGTCAGTGATCAGAGCTCTTCCCTGGAAAAAACTTAATGGAATGCATTCTTCTATATTTAAGAGATTGTGTTTGGTAAAGAACTTTGCACATTTACTGGAAGCAATGTGAGAAATGCAATTGGTAGATCCCTGAAGCTCTTATTTTTGCACATGAATAAGTACCTCAGGATGGCAACTATTCATCAGATGAAGAGACAGGCAGGTTTTAGCAGCACGCCTCAACTGAGCCAAAGAGAAATACCAAGTGCCTTTTTATTTCTTTTGATAGGATGTTTTTAATTAAAATGCCGAACTGTGTATTTTCCAAAAACAAGTCAAAACTAGAGCAGAAGGAAGTTGAAATCCTAACAGTCTAGCAGTGAAATGTCCCAGTGTCAGTGAGCAAAGTACGTGTCCCTTATGTCATCTTGTGCACATCGAGGGCATCACTTTATAGAGAACAATACCAGCCGGTTATTAAGATGCACTGCTATTAGTATTTTGAAGCTGCTCAGACAATAATAACCTCACCCTAGTATTAACTTTTAACTACAGTGCTGCTTCTAATCCCAAGGACGACATCCAGCCTTTTAGCAGGTAACAAAATGGAATTTACTTTTGCGGTATACTTCAGTTAGCAGTTTTCACAGACTCTCTGGATGGATGTTACTCCTCAATCACGCTTGTGCAAAAAGGAGTCCTAAGCAACAAAAAGTGTATTACGAGTCAGAATTTCCAGTGGGGGCCTCTAGTGATTTTTCAGGGCATTATAAACTGTTGTTGCAAACATCACATAATTGTGCTGCTCCTCTAGGCTGGGTTGAAATGAGACATGGTTCCTTTGGGGTGGCAGAGAACTGCGAGTTGTCGTACTTCAGCACTACAGGATTGAACAGATGAGCTGCCCTAGTGCCTGCTGCCATAGTGATCTCTCTTGGGTGGTCCCTGGTTTCAGTGCTGGTGCCATGGAGGTAATCGTCAGATCAGGGCCTTAATAACCAGAAATCTTTCAAGTGGCTAATTTCAAGTGACTCTGGATTCAGATTCAGAGCCCAAATATGTTTGTATCAGAAAAGAAAAATTACCTAGGTGGTAGGTTGTAAGAGAACATTTCGGTAACTAGTATTACCCAGCAAATAGATGGTTTCATGTCTTTAAAACATATCATTTCTTTGTATAGCTGTGTCCTTTGCAAAACAGGTGTTTCTGATTTTTTTTAAAGATGTACAAATCAAAAAGGATTTTTTTGTATGAGATGTTTGTACTTAGATCATGAAGGCTAGATAATTTAAACTGTGTATTATTCTTAACGGTATTTATTAAAGCTCTAGGCATATGTCTTGTTATGAACTATGCTCTAAGTTTTGTGAAAAAAATGCAGTAGTCTTTACATTTGATTAACAAAACAGCAGTCTCTAAGATAGTCCTGCAAAACATGGAGAAACGTTCTCATCGGCTGCTGGGGTTGTTCCATGTGCTGGCACAACACTTATATCCAGGGCTGTCTTGTAATTCCTCAGTCTTCTGTCAGTTATTTTACTGCTTTGATTCAGCACGTGCTTTATGCTTGACTTGAATAGTGTAAGAATGTGTTAATTTATCTCTGTTTTGCTGAACAGAGATATAGGGAAGACCTCACACAGACGTAAGAAGGGTACCAAAGTCCTTTACGTAGGCCCTGTCCCTGCAGTTGCCTAGATGAATGGTTAATTTCACACATGTGGGTAAACCTGTTGATTCCAACAGGCGTACTCAACATGTGCATTTTTAAGTCTGTGCTGTGTTTAGACTTTTGGCCTTAGTTAAATGTGACAGAATTCTGCAGCCATGTTACTTGGAAGGGCTTCCATCCCAGTGGCATGGCACACTGCCCCTCGCTCAGCCAGGCTGACTCTCTGGGTGACTGTAGCCAGGCCAGGGGATTGATCTAGCCTCTGATGGGGGAAAAATGACCACTGCAACCCCAAAACAGCTGTACTGGCACAACTTCAGTGGCTGTGTGAGGAGGGAAGGATGGAGGACTTCTTTAGCTGAAGATGTCAATCCCTTCCCCACAAAAAGGTGTGTAGAGCTGCTATATCCTAGTTTGTTGAAACAATTCAAATTCTTAAACTCGGCTGCACTCAGATTCTGAGAGGCTCTTTCCTATGGGCTGAAGTCTTCGGTTAAAATGCTTTCAGTTGTATTTAACAGTTACAGGTTGTAAAGGTATTTAACTGTGTTTTGGAGTTTACATGTTTTACTTGTTGGGGCTGCTGCTGTTATTTATTTATTTATTTTTATAGCTTTTGCCCTGCAGTGACTAGAGTATAGGATGAGGACAATGTTGGAGGTGCCGGGCTGAGTCCTTCTTCCCATCAATTGCCGGAGGGGGTTAGGACTCACAGTGTGACGATGTCTCCTTCCTTGCTAATGTGCAGCACTTCGGTTCCTCCCAGCTGCAAATTTGCTGGACAAAAATATAAAGATTGGCTTTTCTTTCTTAACAACCCTAAAGGTCCCCCAAGTTGTGAATAAACTGTGTGTTTTCTTAGTAGTGGGTGTCAATATCCATTAATCTGGAAATGAGCAAGACTGACGAAACTTTGTATGTAGAAATGTGAGTGACCAGTAGGTAGAGACAAATTTAAATATGACTGCGGACTTTGTTGTTTTCTAATGATGGCTATTGTGAATTTTATTCATTTACTGTCATGTGTTGAATAAAACCAGATTCTTCTTTAAAATTAGATTTGTTGATTACTTCATCTTTTACATCTCCAGGAAGAAATGCTTCATTTATTGGTTGGAAGCATAGACATTTCTGCTGGGGCAGTGCTTCCATCTCTTGTGAGGGAATGAAAATGGCTCGTTAGGAGAACAAAATAGAACCTTTATTTTGAAAACAGTGCCCTTCTCAAACTGAATGTGTAATTTTTTTCATTTTGTGGGGTTGTGGGTGGTATGACATCAGTATTTCCAGTTGGCTGCATCAGATGGGTATATTCTGCATACTTATTTTGGTCTAGTAGGGAGGGAGGACACTCACCTGAGTCAGGGACTGAGTCCAGCTCCTACAGCATAGTTTTAAGGTAAGTTTTTTTTCTTGTCTGCTTTGCTTGCCCTTCAGTTTATATGGAATTGAAAATGAAAAGCTTCATCTTTTCTCTCTACCTCTAATAATCTTGGATATTTATTGGCTTGATTCTGTTACGATGTTTGATGGGGTTTGTGCGCCCCTACCAGAGATACAATGTCCAAAACCACAGATGTGCTGGGGAAAAAAAAAAACTGCTTGGAAAGTAAAACAGTTTCTGGTTAGAAAAAGGTGTCTGAGGGTCTTGGGCAGAATTTCTCATCAAAACATGCCCAAAGTAACTCCCAGGAATAGGCAAGCAATAGCTGGAGCATCTTACAAAAGAAGGGAGACTTGGATCCAAGTTTCTGTTCTGCCTGATTGGGAACAGGAGACCCCAGCACAGTACTCGTACCCTTGTGAGTGCCCTGGCTGTCGCTGGCCACGCTGCAGTGGAGGTTTGTCTCCGTTGTGTGTAGGAAGGGTTTATAGGGTGGGGAAAAGATAAATAGGCAGCAGGGAAGGTGGTGGTGTATTCATTGGTCACTTTGAGACTTCTTTTGCCTCTAAGTTGCTAACCTGCTCCATGCATTAAGATAGATCTGCTCCCGTATGTTTTGCCAGTTAGGAAGTTCCAGAAGGGATTCTGCCCTCCGCTTCAGAGGTTGTTGCATGTGTTTCTGGCATAATATCCTTAGAATAACAATGGCAGTCCTCCATGTGTGTTTGTGCCAATGTCGCACTGCCTCAGACTTTTTGTTTGACTGCATCATGCTTACGCTTGGGAATCTGTTTGGTTGAGGCTGGTAGGTTTTTCTCGTGACTGATGTGTGGGGTTGTTTATATGACAAGTGCTGCTCCAAAATTAGGTAGACATAGGATGGTATAAATGAAGTCAGAGGGTGTTTAGAGCTGTTGGAGGCGACTGTTCTTCATATGGAATTAATTTGAGGGAGATTGTTTACAATCCCATCAAATGATGAGGCCCAGAATTGGTAACGGTGGCGTTCTTTGGTCCAAATTAAATTTTATTGCCTGTGCGTATTATATGGGAGGTTACATTAGATTATTGCCTGATTTGTCCCAACTTCCGAGTTTATCTGATATGGTGTTCCGATTGCTTCACTACGTCACTTTTCCTTTAGAACAGGTCTGTTTTGGTTTTGCTTTTCTCTGATAAACTAGCCACATGACAGTACCGACCCGTCCTCCTGCCCTCCTCTTGCAGCCTGCCGTGCCTGTGGAAGGACTGTCGACGGTTCACTAGGAGGTTTGGCTCTGCATGCTCTGAGGCTTTGGTGACCTT